TCCCTGAGAAGAAGTTATGTCCATTCTCCAAACATACAACTATCTGCACACTCATGAGTCGATCACATTGATGAAAACGTACATGACAAAAGCATTCACTGATGGAATGAGTGTCACTGCAGGTACGTGAACTCACAAGCAGGTCAGTATAATCATCAGAAGAGCCGCGGCAGATCTCCTGATGAGTCTATGTAATTCCATTGAAGAAATGCAAATACAGCGTCCCGATCCATTTCGTATAACCTTTGTCACCAGTGCTCACTGACAGATGTACAATGTGTTTCGCATCAAGTCATCGTGTGCATTATGCAAGTTGATAGGAATTATGCATTATGCAATTTTACGGAGCAGTTTGTGGTCACCACGTGTGATTAAGAACTGCTGTGTTCACTGCAGACTCTAACTGCATCTGACAGTGATCGAAAAAGCGCTTCAGAGGGTAAGCCTGTTGCATGAGATTCGTTCGTCCGGAAGGGCCAAGGACGCGTGAAACTGACTGCTTAGCGGCTGATGATAAAAGATTGTGATGAGGATGGGTGTGCTTCTGCGGTGGGTTGAAGACTCTCTCAAGAGAATCTCCACCTCTGTCCTTCCATGTTCACTTACCATCAAAAAGGGGAGTCCGGGATGGGATGAGGACCGTGGTGGGGAGAGGGGCCAGGGGAAGCTACGTGTAGAACCCCAACTGTAGAGTTCTTACCCCTGTTCTCCTCCCTGCCCTGGCTCAGACTGGCTCCAGGGAATGAGTGGAGTCCCATCCCACCCACCTCCAGGATGAACAGAAGGTCCCGGTTGATCCAGAGGAGGCTGTGGGAGAGGGGTTCAGGGCAGACCGAGAAACATGAGGCTCAGGGCATGAACACCACGTGGTGGCCGGGAGCTGAAGCACGCGTGCAGTGTCCTCTCCCAAACGGAGGCTGTCCTTCAGAGGGGCTTCCTGCTGGGTCTGAGCTCACCCAAGGTGTGGGAAGTGTCAGTGCTGGGGAACCCCCCTCAGGACCTCCTTTAAAACCGAATCTGAGACTTCCTTCCCTGTGAGCCTTTCCAGAGGAGGGGCACCCTCCCCTTTCCACATCTAAGGCGCAGAACTGCTAAACCATAAAGTGAGCTCAAAGACGCTCCCTGCAAGAACTACAAAAACCAGACCTACAAAATGATAACCAGGGGTTTATAACTCATAACTCCACGCACGTGATCTTGAACGGGGAAGGCTTTTTGAACTGCAACCTTTACACCCCAATCCAATAGTTCTTTTGGCTTTGAAATGTCCACAATCTGAATTTTATAGGGATTACTTTTTATTATAGGTAGAGCAATTAAATCTCCATATTGAAGGATGTAAACCTTTTAAGGCCCTTCTCCGAATATCAAAAGAAAAGGAGGCTTATATTTAACAGGTGTGACAACGCAATGCAGGACATTTCGTTGACCAAGAGCTTGACGTTCTCCAGTAACAAATACTTAAATTAATCTGAAACATCTTTCAGATAAAAGAGATTTCAGAAAGAATTAAGTCGACCACAAAACTTTATACAGAAAGATCATCTCATGTATGAAATACTTAAAAATGCTAATTCTTGAGGAATGTGTCAAGGGGTGTTTTTTATAAAATCTTTCCTTTTGACTTTTATTTTATGAACTTTAAATGATCGTATTTCCTATCCGTCCCATAGCATAGATAGTGAATGCGTCTTCATTACTTGTGTTGGCCTCTCAAATTAATTAATTTAACTGGTGGAAATTGCCCTTGACCTTGATTATGGACCAGAGTGAAGGCAATGCTCTGGTAGAGGGTGAAGATTAGATTATATGAGAGAAAAAATTTCCTAACTGCAACTGCAAGATACAATCAGTTGGAGGAGATGGTGTCCTAACTTTGCAAAACTCTGAGATTCTTGGTTCTAAGATTTTTCACCGTTAATAGACTCAGCTTTGAAAGTGGTCTCAGCCACGAGATTTTGTTTTTTACAAAACAATTCTCTCCCCCTTCTACCCCCCCCCACCGAAAGGTGTGAGGGGTGGGCATGCTTGTGATGCCTCTCTCTGTGGGGTGTATTTTGAGGAAGGGGAGAAAAGTATCAAAAGGGAGCCACAGATGACATTGGTTCAAATATTGTGTTTTTTCTGAACTCATGTTTTTTTGTTCTCAACAGTGGCAACCTGGATTGTTGAAGTCATCCTCGGCTATTAAACTACAGTTCTTTATTCATAAAGCAGGCTCCGCTGTTAGCATATTACTAGCATACTAACATAGTATATAACTAGCATACTAACATAGTATATAACTAATATACTAACAGTCTATTACTTCCAGTATCGTTCTATATCATCAGAGTACTTGGTCCTAGTGATGATGTTGAAGGAACTTGCTAGGGTAATGTTGTATTATGAAGCGGAGCCATTGCTATGGGCTCCTGATGCCAGTGGTCGGGGAAGGCGGGGAGAAAGGATTTACTTTAAAGCACTCTTCTAAATCAAAAAGGTGGCTTCCCCGGTGAGTCAGCGGTGAAGATCCACCAGCAGTGCAGATGGGGGTTCGAACCCTGGGTCAGGAAGACCCCTTGGAGAAGGAAATGGCAATCCATCCCAGTATTCTTGGCTGGGAAACCCCATGACAGAGGAGAGTCCATGGGGTCTTGAAGAACTGGACGTGACTTAGCCACCAAACAACAAAATCATAAAAGGCTCCCTGTGGCGTGTTTTGGATGTGAGTGGCTAAGAGGAAGATTTCAAAATACAGTCAGGTTACCTGGATCAGGGGCTTCTTTGGAGAATAGCTCTAAAGAAAAGAAACCAAAATATGCAATTAAGGGGGATGGCAGGTTGGCTATTTTTTAAGATCTTGTGAACAGCACTGAGACTTCTGTGTTCCTACTGTTCTGTGTTAACTACTACCGACAGAGCAGTTCAAAGGAGTCAATTTTTCAAATGACGATTCTAGCACAGATTGTAAAAACTGATATGGTCCTATTACTAAAATGCGTGTTTCAATATACATTCTGCTTTTTGTACCAGGACCTCAGAGAGAAAAGGACTGCATGCTTCTCAGAAACTTAATCTCTTTTCAATATTTCCTCTTTATTGGTATCTTCTGCCCACCTATGGAGAGGTGGGCTTGTGTCCCATGTGCAGTGGTGTGCCTGTTTGTTTAAGAAATTTCCTAAGAATGCATTTGTAGCTTGTGAGGCTTGTCCGTTTAAAAGAGAAACACTTCCTCGGAGAGGGCAGAATGGCAGATTTTTGTATCAAAGATCTCATTTTGGCATCGGTAGGGTTAAAGAACCTCTCAGAATCTATAGGTCCTAGAGAAGGCGGTTTCTAAACTCAGCTGCTTAGACTCATCCTATTTTCCCCCCAGCAAACAGGAAATAAAGCACTAAAGGGCTTTTTTAAAAATTGGAAAGTGTGTAGGGAGAGGGTATACTCTTGATGCCCACTTACAACCCTGAGCCTGACCCAGACTTGGGGGTCTCCGTGTGTTTTTTCTTCCCTCTCTCTCTCTCTCTTTTTTTTCCTATTATTTTGGCAGACTTTTTGGAATGTCTGGGAGCTAAGGGCTTTGCTTCATGGAGCAGAATTCTGAAGCAAGAGAAAGAGAAAGTTATAGACTAAACCACAGAAATGTAAACACGTCTGCAGCTAAAATAACTCCACTTTCATTGAAAACACTCCTCCTTCACAATCAGACTTCTGTGTGCTATGGTCAATAAAACGGCATGTTAATAGCGACCAATTAATAGATTATGTTGCCCGGCCTTAAAAGTTGAGGGAGTTTTAATTATTATTTTTCAAATTAAAGGAGTGCTTATTTCGCTCCCTTCCCTTGGGGTTGCGGCGGGGGTGGGGGGGGGCGCGACTTAACTTTCTTTCTGGCTGTTTGCTGAAATTCTTGGCTGTTAAAAACTTTGGAGAGGGAGAGACACTAGTAGTTTTCACTTGGTTGGAAGGGGAGAGCCTGGAAGGGAAGGGTCTGGGGTGGGTTCCTAGCGATCACGCTGGACAGTCGTGACGGTGCCCGCGGGACATGGTGAAGAGAGGACGCACCCAGGTAAGCGCGGTTTTGAAGTCAGAATTCCCTTAAAAACGGTAACATCTGGAGGGCTTCAGGGCCGCCGGACCGGAGGAGCCAAACCTCGCGCGCGGCTCCCCCTTTCGGAGGCGGCGTCTTGGGGACACCCTGCTGCCGAGGGCTGCCGTCCCTGCGTCTGTCCGGCCCGCCCGGCGGCCTCCCGGACGGCTCGGCATCCCAGCGGCCGCGCCCCGCGCCTCCGGAGCCCCTCCGCCCCCTCCCCAGGCTCTCGGGACGCGCACCAGGTCACACTCCAGGTGAGACCGAAGCCGGTGGCGCCCGGCATCGCCGTCTCTTAATTTGAGGGCGGCGTTTATGTCAGTTCCCGTCAGCATCCGAGGCAGCCCCAGCGGTCATTTTCACCTTCTTCCGACACAACCGGTTTGAACTTTGATTATTTGTAATGTGTGTAACGGCTGAGGCAGGGGGAAAATCACTTCTAAGTTTCGGGGAGGAAGTGCTTCCGCGGCATCTCCCCACCGCTCGGCCCTCACCGGCCCCAGCCCGTGCTCGGTTTTTCGCTCCTCTCCGCTCCTGGACGCGCATCCTGGGTTCTCCTCCCGCCGCCCCTCCGGCCCGGACTTCAGCTCTCCGGTCCCAGGCTCCGCTCCACCCCTTTCTCCCCCTCCTCCACCTCTTCCTCCTCGGAGCCGCCCGCCGCGTCCCCAAAGCCCGGCAGGGTCCGGACCTGCCCGCGCCGCCGCGCTCCCCGGCCCGAGGGCGCGCCCCCCGGACACGCGCGCTGGCCTAAATCTGGAGCCGCGCGTCGGGGCGGCAGCCCTGCTCGGCGATTGGCGGGAGCCGGGGCCTCCGGGAGGCCGGCGCCCACACCATGGGCTGAGCCCGTCGGCGCGCAGGGACTCAGTGCCGCCCGGCTCGGCGGCGACCCCAGTCAGGCACGCGCGCCGGCACACGCGGGCGCGGACACGCGCGGACATCCACGTGCGCAGCGCTCCCTCCCCTCCGACGGCGGCGCTCGCCTCTCGGTAAGTCCCGCGCTCTGCGCGCCCTGCCCGGCTCCCGCGGCGGGGAAGGTGGCGGCCGGGTGACCCGGCTCTTTCGACGGCTCCGGGACGGATGGGGTGTGTGACGCCGGGAGGCGCCCCGGACGGATAGAGAGGGGTGCAGACCTCCACTGCCCGCGAGGGCTGGAGGCTGGGGGGCTTAGACTGGGCTCCTAGCGAGCAATGATTTGTTGTCTGGAATGGAAGTAAGGCTTGAATGAAGGCCCACGCTCGGCTGAGAGTCGAGACCAGGTATGGGCTTGGCTGTCGCTGCCCGCTCAGTCCTTCCGTGGGTGGAATCCCCCTCCGACGGGGCGCCCGCACCGCGCTCTGCTGGACCTCGGCTTTCTCTCTTTTCTCTGCATCTTGGGCTTCTCCGCTTTTGACACCTCGGCCTGCTGCTGTTACGTTTATGTGCCTCCCCTTTACCGCTTACTGGGGACACTTGGCATGTTTTAAAAATTATAGGTGGATCTATCAGCTAGCCTTGTTGGTTTCTGCCTGAAATACGACGTCCTTGTATCACAGTTATATATTATCTAGATATTTTACAAAAGGTACCGCATAGAATTATTTTTTAACATTTTAAAGGATTTAGATGCTATTGTTAACAGCAGACTACACTGCCTCATAAAGTGGATAAACAGTTTTAATGCTGGTGTGAACGTAATGCAGTTCTTCCTTGGGATGATGGTAATTTCGTTATCCTTCCGTATTCCTAAGTGCCACAGCTTTCCCACCGTGCGTGTTTCTGGAGCTTCTGTAGTTCAGAAAACTTTCACTGTGACTTAAAAAACAATTTTAGTCTTCCCCTAGTGACGTACGTGGCACATAGAGTTTATTTACCATTGAGATTATTTTTTCAGTATTTTCAGTTCTCTGCAAATAGCTTAGAGCCCTTGACCGGTTATCACCAGGAGAACTGTCACATTCCTGGGCTTAACCCTTGCAGTGCTGGCAGCACCTGGCAGTGGCTGTCTCAGTGGGAAGAGTGGGCAATAGAAGTTATGTGAAAACCCTAACCAGATGATTTAATTCACTGTGTGTCAAATTATGAATGAGCTAATCATGCTATTGAAATGGCGATTCTAGGGGAAACAGGATGAGCTGTGCAAACTTGTGGCTACTACTGCGAAGTTTTCTAATTCTGAAGAAAGGCTTTGTGAGTGCTAGACACATCACAGATCCTCTTGTGGTCTGGTAACCCAAGTTTCCATTTGAATCAATAACTTGGATAGTACACTAAATTAGCAAATGGGTATTACATCTCTTTGAGTTATTTGTTTAAGGATATATAATTCCAGTTACACTTAAAATTTTGGTTTCTCTTCTGTCACTGTATAGTTACTTTATTTTCCTGTTATAAATGTGGGATAACATGATATTTTGTTTTCCATATATCTGTTCTCTCATGATGAGTTCTTGGTGGTTTAGTCTGAAGTGTCTTTTTTAGGTAAATTTTTGAAAATTCTTGGTTGCCATTTGATTATGTAACGGGGCTGCATGTACACGTGTTTATAAGCTTTGCCCCCGGCCACTTAGGTTTTGTTTGGATATTAAAAATCTTACTGTGTTTCTAATCTCACAAGATCAGCTCTTTTATTTGTGGTAGAGGCTGAGACCCCAGTGGGGTGCCAGATATATAAATAAGAAGTAAAGCCTGTTTGAAAGATGTCAACCTTGATTTTGAACTTACGTACTATTCTAAAATTTTATGCATTGTGCATGTATGGAATATATCATTTTATAAGTAGGTAATAGGAGACTTTCAACATTTTTTCTAACATTAATATCAGGTCTAGTTTTTCCTTGTTATCTGTCCTTAAACAACAACAAAAATAAATAAAAGGGGGGTTCATTTCTTCACAAGACAGAGGAACTCATGTTCCAAAGATCTTTTCCTATTCCCCAGTGAAAAACCGGAGCAGGTCAGCGTCAGTCATATGATATGGAGGGTGGGAAGACAGTGTCATGTTGAATAAATGTTGGTGCCGCCTGCTCTTTCATAGAGCTCGGTTCAGGAGGTGTCAACAGAGAGACCCCCACCCCCACCCCCAGCCAAGGAGCCTGCTGGGGCCTGGGATGTGAGATGTGGTCCCCGTAACTGGGATCAGAAGGCAGTCATTATGAGCAGAGTCCTGGCCTTGTGGCGCTGAGAGGCAGGTCTGTGTTTCAGCTGGGGGCTGGTCTCTCTAAACGCAGGTCTTTTTCCACCTCCTGGTTTGGTCACCCTTTGCATCTCAGGGCCAAGCTTTTCCAGGCGAGGAAGAGAATTCCATTTTCTTTCCCCAAAGGGTAAGGACACGTGGGCATTCCCAGGATGTATCATCCTTCAAAATACAGCTTTTCTTTTATCATCTGCCTGCACCGTGAATTTGAAACTCTTCAAACCTTTGGAGTTGCCAAGGTTCAAGTATTTTGGGATATAAGAGGGATTCAAGTATTTTGGACATGGTTGTGGCAGGTTTGATACCTGGTGGGAGCAGTGGATGTTTGATTTGGTAGCAGTGTCTGTTAAAGTCGCTGGGGGGACTTCAGAAGTCCCTGAACTAGCTGATGACACTTACCCATGAGGTCTCCCAGACACCCCTGTGTTGTTGACGTCACGAGGGCATCCTCCTTGCTCCTGTTTGTGCCCTCACTTGGCTCAGGAGCAGTTCATTAGCTGGATGTTGTGCATGGTCAATATACATCTTCTCACATTTATAGATTCAAGGCAGTTAATTCTGTGGATAAAAACAACAGAATTCTGCAGTGGTTGGGCTATCATCCACTCCAGTTTTTCAGAATAGCCAGGGGGAAATGTTGCCCTCTTCACTTTTTACCTTTTCTGCTTTCAAACATTTGAGTATTTAAAAGACAGAGGATTTGGTGCTTTGCGTTTGCAATGCTGCAGATCCAGTGAAGGTAGTGAAGTAATCTAAAGGCGAGTGGTCTAAAATTACTTTGCTAAATTTAAGTGTAAGTGAGATGTCGACAGCACCAGGTAATTAAAGGGTGCATCTAAAAATGGAGCGCTGGGTCTGAGTTTTAGATTTAAAGTTACCTTTAAGTTCTTCTATTTTGACAGTGGCATGTCATCATCTGGAAGACCCTGATTGCGTATGAGAAACCGTAATTTAACAATGAAAGTAGGGGGTTCAGTTATCTTGACTCGGTGCATGGTCAGAAGCCTGAGCAAAGGAAGTTGAGTTCTGTGCCTCTTTTTCTGTTTCAGAATGACCGTGAGTGAAGCTGGAAATATCTTTAAAGTGTGTAAAATAGACCTCTTGAGTTATTTTATCACTTCTGAAAATCATAACCCTGGAGAACTTGATGGGAGATCCGATCTAGCATAAACCGTTGGCATGTCCGAGGGTTTTGAAAAACCTAGCATTGTAGCTTCTTCCTGTTTCAGCATACCATCTAATTTTGAACTGTTTTAGTGGGAATGAGATGTTCACACATCGGTGTCTCACATGGGATTCCTTTTAGTGCTACTGTTATTTCAATAACTGTTCCCCCAGGAAAACCTACTCTGGGACAGAAAAGCAGCCCTCTAACCTCTAGGAAGGAAAACATAAATCATAAAAAAGAAAAGAAAAAGAAAACCTAAAGAATGGTTAAAAAAAAAAGGAGGGGTGGAGAGAAATACAGGCACATTTACAGTGATTTTTCAAAACCAGGAAACCCTTACTTTCGCTTGATGAAGGGCTTGGCAGAGGTTCCCAGACCTTCATTTAAAAGTGAAGAAGGGTGTTTGCCCCGCGGTCTGAGTGCAGGGGTACCCAGGGGATGAACGCATGTTGTCATATTTCCACCTAGCGGTTCCCTGTTCCCGGTGGGGAGATTCGTCTTCTCCGTGACGGAGTGGAAATGTGGGTTATGGATTTTTTGGGAGCTTTACAAAAGTAGTCAAGTTGGGAAGTAAAAGACGCGTGTGCATGTTTTTCCTGTGCTTCGGGCTGGGAGGTTTGTGTTACCACCTTCGAGGCAGGAACAGTTTTGTGCAAAGGCATCAGCAGCCTTGCGGAGGTGGATTCGGGTCGTGGGGTGTGCCCTTCTGTGTGAACAAGCTGCATGTCAGGCTGTGTCTCTTCTGAGCCGCGGGGGAAACCCGGGATCTTACAGTGTCTGTTAACGACCTGTTGCCTCCATGGAATCGATGGACTGGACCGGGCAATGGAAAAGCGCTGCTGCCTTCCCTCTGCGCTGCCGATGCTGGGATTTCTGTGCCTGCTGGAGCCAGGAGGATCCTCAAGCTTTTGAGAAGAGATTGAAAGAAGCTGTAATGAGGAGCCTGGAGGGACGGAGGGGACCGCGGGGGAGCCTTGGGACCCTGGGAGTGAAAAAGGGCGATTTCAGGATTCTTACATGGAACCTACAAAGAACTGAGCTGGATGTAAATAATAGTTGAATGTGTGCTAGTAATGTGAAATGTTTGGGAGCAAACCATGTGCACTTACCGTCTCAACATAAAACCTGAAATTAAATGTTAGAAAGTTGAGATTTCTTTTACTGGGAAACAAGGTAAAAAAGCATTTCGAAAAGATACCAGTGGGCGACTTAGGAACATTTTAAGAAGACCTCGTTTGAAGAAGAATGGAGTCTCATTAAAACCACATGCAACCTCACAAAGCTGGTGCAAGTCCTCTGTAGGATGTACAAATTTGAGTCTATAATTGCCCCAAATTCAAACGTGTCTTGTGCAAGGCTGGCTCTTTTTGGAGCGCAAGTTACTGCAGCAAGAAGACAGAATAAGCAAAAATGGAGGAAAAAAATTTGCTTCTTCAGGATCCAAAAGTACTTCCTAGTCTGTTTGATCCTGGCAGGAAAATTTACTTCACTCCAGGGTTTTAAAATAGAAATAATAACAATGAGGATCAGACCCAGGGAATATGGTGAGTCTTTTCTGGAGAAAGGGTGTTAGGTCTGCATATTACCTGTGTTTGAGTTCTGAAACTCCACGCCAAACCCTGCCATTCAAACAGAGAAAAGCAATT